TCCTAGGGGTCTTTCCCAGCCAGTATTCCCAACACAGTGGCTTCAGCATGTCCTCGCAGCCCGCCTCCCCTGCCACCAGACTGATCCCCCAGCTGCAGCAGTCCCGCTCCTGCCAGTGTCTGTGCCCACCCCAGCGCCCTCCTGCATTTCCTGTCCCTGCCAGAGGCTGCCTCCTCCCCATCCACTCACTGGCCACCCCACCCCTGCACCCCTGTCTGTCCCATGTGCTTGATGGGGAGTGTATACTGTCGGGGTGGGGGGGGGGTGGTTGTAAGGTAAGCTTACCCGTCCTCTCCTCGCCAGGGGCCTGTGTGGAGCACAGAGGGTCAGTGCCTCGTGACCGATGGCTGAGGCCCCTCCCCCAAGCCTCATCGGGTATCTCATTCCCCTCCTCAGGATCTGACAGTACTCTGCCATCTGGAACAGCTGCTCTTGGTCACTCATCTTGACCTGTCACACAATCGTCTCCGAACCCTGCCCCCTGCCCTGGCTGCCCTGCGCTGCCTTGAGGTAAAGCACTCCGTCACCACTGTCCTGGGTGGCCCTCTTCCCTTTTCTCCACCTCAGAAGTCTGCCCACCCTACAAAGAGGTGTCCAGATCCTCCCAGCCCCTGCAAATGACCCTGTGCCTTCTCTGCCTCAGTCACCTAGACTTCCCCAGGAGCCTTTCCTTGCACTGTAAGCCGATCACCCCAGGCTCCCTACTTGCTTGTACCAGTCCCAGGCTGACGGCTGCCTGCCTGGCCTCGTCTTCCCTGCCCTCCCTGCTCCCCAGGTCCTTCAGGCCAATGATAATGCCATAGAGTCCCTGGACGGTGTCACCAACCTGCCCCGACTACAGGAGCTCTCACTGTGCAACAACCGTATCCTTCTTTCTGGGTGCCTTTCAGACAGCGGGTAGGATGAGCTGCCGGGCTGGGAAGGGACAGACAGCAAGCAGGGTGGGTGGGAGAGGGGCCACTGGTGGTCTAAGCTAAGGAGAGAGGATAGCTTGGGGCTGTGTGGGCCATCATTGACTTGCACTGGTCGTTTTGCAGGGTAGAAGTGACTTCCTCAAGCCAGAGTTCATAAATCAGCAGCCTCCAGATGTTCTTGGGTACCCCATGGTACTTTAAAAATCAGGAAGCTTCATATTTAAAAACTTGAGAATTCTGATTCTACTTAAAAACTGGAAGTTAGGGGCACCTGGCTGGCTCAGTTGGTAGAGCATGAGACACTTGATCTTGGGGTCATGAGTTCAAGCCCCATGTTGGGTGTGGAGCCTACTTTTAAAAAAATTGGAAGTTAAAGCAACCCTTGGCCTGCATTTCCAGTCAGCAACCCTTGGCCGTTGTTGAGTCATGGATGTCCCTGGAGCCAGAGCTGGCTTTCTTGTTGGCCATAGCCCACCGCTCCTTCTCGTACCACATCTGGCCTGCCTCTTGGGCTTCCGGCCTGGCCCCATGGGCAGGTGTTTGCAGTCTATAGTCTTATTCCCTCCAGGGAAGTGTGCAAGATGCCTGCCAGCCAGACCGCCAGGCAGCAGCCCCTGGTCTTGAGGGAGAACAGGAATAGATACACGGGAGCTCGTGGATCTGGGGGAACATGCCTCATTTTCCTTGACTCTTCTGCCCAAGGCCTCCAGCAGCCCACAGCGCTCCAGCCTCTTGCCTCCTGCCCCAGGCTGGTCCTCCTTGACCTGCAGGGCAACCCCCTGTGCCAAGCAGCGGGCATCTCTGAGCACCTGGCCGAGCTGTTGCCTTCAGTTAACAGCATCCTCACCTAGGAGATCCTTCCCCACCCCTGTTCTTTAACTTATTGGGACTGAATAAACAATGGAGAGGCCCCCCAGGCTGCTATGCTGCCGCCACCGCCACCACCGCTACCACCATTACTACTGCCACCTATTTTGGAAGAGGAAAGGAGAGAGTTAGGGTGTGTCACCTCATCCTCACCCTTTCATTTCATGCTCGGTCCTGCTGTTTCCTCCCATGGGGAACCAGAGTCTCTGTTCTGGAGCAGAATTTGCCCCAGATGCCTTAAATGCAAGGGCTGTATTAGAGTTTACCTTCTGGTTGGGGCTGGGGCTGCAATTGAGTTTGGGTCCAGGTTCTGGTTGGGGCTGGGCTACAAAGCAGCCGTAAGTCGCCAACTAGAAGGACTCATAAAAGTTTCTCCCATGACTCCTGCCCCTTCCAGATGCCCTCTGTGCCCCGGCTCATTCACTACAGCTGAGAGGGCTGTTCCCACGAGGAGCTGGTCAGGGTGCCTTTGCTCCGCCCTCTGGTGACTATAGTATCGATCCTCATGAGTAGCATTCTGCGGTTGAACAGCCCTCGAAAGTACTATATCTCAGCTGACCCTCACAAGTGCTTAGGGATGAGATGGTGAGGCCCATTGTACTGATGAGGAAACTGCACCAAAACCGTCTCTGCACCTTGGTCTGGGATTCTGCTTGTGTCCGTTCTTCTGTATTGATATGGGATGATAGGTCAAGACTGGCCTCAGCTCCCGAGGTACCGAACTGGGTATCTGTTCCCATGGTGCCCTGCTATACACACCCCTTGTCCTGACTTTAGAGCCCCAAGGCACTTGAGCCTCCTAGAGGGAGGAGAGGGGAGCGGCTCAGGGGTTAGGGCACTGAGTCAAATCTGGCTAGGTGGGGAAGAAGACCAAAACAGAGAGAGTGACAAGGTACTTTTCTGGTTCCCTGGGAAATGTTCACACACATCCGGTCCCTTAGGGCCCTGCCCCTTCCCATGTTCATGGTGATACATACAGCCCCTCAACAAAGCCCTTTGGCTGACCTGCCTGCCTGGGATTTTGATTTTTACTTGTGTGTCCTTTGCGGGTGTTAGAGGTGGGGACAGACCCTCTGCCAGGTCAGGGGTTTGGAGCTAGACAGGGAAAGGTCACTGTGGGTGTGGAGAGCTCCCTGCCAGGTCCTGGAGTCTCAGTCCCCATTCCCCAAGGCCCCTCCCTGCCTGATGCATCACCAAGTTCAGCCTCTCCTCTAGTCGGTTTCCATGTGTCTTCTTGCCAACCCTGTTTTCACTGTCTTCTCTTCAGTGGCCTGTGGGCAGAGCAAGGACAACAGCAGGATGGAGGGAAGAGACCCCAAGAAATGGCCCCAACCTTCCTAAAGAACTTTCAGGAGAGCCTCCCAGAGATGTCTGACCTCCTCTTTGCCTTAGGGTTCCCTCAGTGGCATCCCTGGTGTTCCTCCAGTGCCAGGGTGGAGTTGGGATACACACAGGGCAGGTGCCTGGAGCCGGTCGGTCAGGATTTCTGGGAAGAATTCCAAGTTGGAGAATCCTGGACTCCAGCTGACCAGCCACCCCTCTCTGAGAGAAAAGGCGTAGTCTGCAGCCTGGGGAGAGGGCCTCACTTCCCACCTGAGCCTCAGAGTGAGGGCCCAAACATTCCCCAAGCTCCCAGGCTGGGGGCAGAAAACAAATTGCTCCTACTCTGACCCTCACTCCCCACCCCATCCCCCCGCCCCTGCCAATCCCAAAATTGTAGGGACACAGGAAGCTGGGGGCAGTTCATTCATGCCAAGGGTTGTGAAGCAGCTGGAGGAAGAAGGAAGGACAGATGGGTGGGGGGGATCAGAGGATCTGGTAGAGCCGGCAGGTCAGGGGCTGGCTGGTGGAGCCAGTCTGAGGGCCTGGCTGCTGATGTCACCAGTCTGCAGCTTCGGATCCCAGGACCTCCCTGGGCAGGACCAGGCCCATGGGCCAGTTTCACAGGGCTGAGCCTGGCCCAGGCTGTACCAGACCCTGGCAGAGGCAGAGGGACCCGGGGTCTTATGGGAGCAGAGGCAGGCAATGTGAGCTTGGGAACAGGGGGCCCGCTGCCTAGGGGCTTGGGTGAAGGGACACTCTGCCCCACAGCTGTGGGGTCTTCTCACCCAGGAGAGGGGGCCCCTTGTGCACCGGTCTGGCAGGAACCAGCCTGGAGTGGGGTCTGTCCGTGGGGGCAGTCTCACAAGGCCTTCCACTTTCACCACAGCTTTGAATCCTGACAGACCCCGGCCCCGCCCCGCTTTGGCTCATTTCCACAGTTCCTCGAAAGGGGAAAGGGGATGCGGCCAGGTCTCCTTTCCCGCCCCTACCTCTGGAGACAGCCCCCAGAGGCCGGGCCTTTTCCGCAGAGTGAGGGGATGAAGCAATCAGGCTTCCCCTTCCCTGCAGCTTGGCTCCGCCCTCCCCCCTCATAAACCACTTACCTGCCCGTCCCACACCTTCCACTCGTGCCTCCTCGACCGTCCTGGGTCCCAGCAGTCCCAACCTGTCCCAGCCCGGCTGCCGGACTCAGCCCTGCTGTCGCCACCGCCGCCGCCAGGTGAGGCTCTGGCAGGCCCCGGCAAGGTGGGGTGTGGGCCAGCCGGAGCCTGCCAGCCCCGGTCAGGCTGCCCCCGACGCCCAGGCTCTGCACCCCAGGAACGTCGGGCTCCTGAACCCGCAGCCCCCGCCACTCCGCGTGGGTGTTTGACCTAACGTGGGAATGCCAAGGACCCCAAATCCTGCATATCACCTGCCCATCTCCTACAAGGAGCCTTGGGTGGGGGATCTCTGCCAAGAATGGGTTCTAGAGGCAGGCAGCTTCGTGGACCTCTAGGCAGAGTAAGCTGGCAGGTGGGAGGGAGCGGGTTTCGGGGATGGTCTGTGCCCTGGGTCCCGAAGCTGTGACAAGTGTCTACTCATTTCTGGGATGGGCCCTTAAGAGCAGGTTTCTCAGTGGGTCATCTAGTTTGGTGGATGTGGCTGTGGGGGTAAGAGGGGAAAGATTTCTCTGCAGTGTGGGAAGTTTCTCTAGGTGAGTTTGAAGGGAGTCTTTGGGGAGGGTCCCTGGATGGGTCTGGGGGAATCTCTGGGGCAAGATCAGATCATCTCAGTCATCTGGTTGGGCTCTCCAACCAGCTCTCCAGATGGAGGGCTTCTGGGTGGGCCAGCTGGGGCGTTCTGAGTACAGGAAGTCTGAGTGGGTGATAAGAGCCTCCCTACCTCTTCCACACAGGCATGATGGACGGTCCTCGTTCAGATGTGGGCCGCTGGGGCGGGAACCCTTGGCAGCCCCCCACCACACCTTCCCCAGAGCCGGAGCCGGAGCCGGACAGACGATCTCGTCGAGGAGGCCGTTCCTTCTGGGCTCGCTGCTGCGGCTGCTGCTCATGCCGAAATGAAACAGATGCTGACTGGGGACCTGAGCCCCACGGAGACCGAGGGTCTGGCAGGGGTCGAGGGTCCAGCTCTGGGGGTCGAAGACCAGACTCCCGGGGCTCAGATTCCCGCCGGCCTGGCTCCCGGGCCAGTGGTGTGAACGCAGCTGGAGACGGCACCATCAGAGGTGAGGCTCTCCTAGCCAACTTATCTGAGAGCTGAAAGGCCTTAATGGGGCCTGAGACTCATCCTGACATCTCTGGGGGCCTGGGCTTCCCATGGGGCCTCGCTGACCCAGAGCTGTGGCCTTGCAGAGGGCATGCTGGTGGTGACCGGTGTGGATCTGCTGAGTTCACGCTCGGACCAGAATCGCCGAGAGCACCACACAGACGAGTTTGAGTACGACGAGCTGATTTTACGCCGTGGGCAGCCTTTCGACATGGTCCTCCACCTCTCTCGGCCCTATGAGTCCTCTGATCATGTTGCCCTGGAGCTGCTTATCGGTCAGTGGGGCCTGCAGTGGGGAGGGTGAAAGCCCAAGAATTGGGGAGTGCTGGCTAGCAGGGCCTCCAGCCCTGGTATTAGGATCAGAGGGACATCTTTAAGCTCCTACCCTCACCCCACTTCTCACCTCTGCCAGACAAGACAGGTGCAAGCACAGGAGTGTGTCTCAGGGAGGGTCTTGGTGTCCCATGTTCCTAAGCTCACCCTCTTCAGGGCTCCTGAGGCGTCTGTCTCAAAATACTTTCTCTTCAGGTGCTTGCTTCAGCTACTCCTTCATTGCTGCTGCCTCCGTGTGTCTTTCTTTCTGGGTCTGTTCTCCTGCCCCAGGGTGTGGCTGGCTCTCTCCTCTCTGTCCAACTCTGTCTCTCTGTCCCCATGACCCAGGGCAGGTGCCTTTCTCACCGCGTTGCTTAGTGGCCGTTGACTGCCCAGGCTGGTGATTATGCTGCTGCCGGGGGCGGGCGACTCCTCATACCCTTTGATTAAGGCCTAGCCGTGCCCACCCCAGCCTCTAATTTCCCAGGTACCCCCACCACTGCCACCAGGGATGTTGAAGGCTCTGGAAGCTTCAGCCCCAGGGGGTAGGCAGGGTTGGCCTTCAGGATCTGGGCTGCCCTTTCACCAGGGGTAGGGGCATCCGGACCCAGCCAGGGCAGCTCTGCCCCTCCAGCCCAGGCACTGGGACAGGCAGGCAGGCAGACGGTGACAGTGGCCTTGTCTCTTCTACCCACCTCTGAGTTCAGGGTCAGGGGAACAGGTTTGGGATGTTGGACTGCTCTGCCCTGGCATGTGGGCAAGCATCGGGTGGGGACAGAGCTGCTTTCAGAGTCTGTCACAGACTAAGGTGATGGCCCAACTCAGGGACACACACACACCGATGTGTGTCATACACATTCTGGGTTGGGCTGGGAGAAGTCCAAGGCTCTATCTCCCCTCAGAGAAGCCTCACCAGCTAATTGCTGCTTCTCCTGCTCCAGGAAACAGCCCCGAGGTGGGGAAGGGCACGCACGTGATCATCCCAGTGGGGAAGGGGGGCAGCGGAGGCTGGAAAGCCCAGGTGACCAAGGCCAGTGGGCAGAATCTGGACCTACGTGTCCACACCTCCCCCAACGCCATCATCGGCAAGTTTCAATTCACGGTCCGCACACGTTCAGAGGCTGGCGAGTTCCTGTTGCCTTTTGACCCCCACAACGAGATCTACATCCTCTTCAATCCATGGTGTCCAGGTGAGCCTGCTGGAGTCAGGAGCAGGGCGTGGACAGGAAGGAGGGGGGCTCAGAGCTCCCCTTCCTCGAATCTGGCTAGGTGCCTATGTGCCTAGTAGAAGCCGGCCTTCTATTGTTCAGGTGAGGGGACCTAGCTCTGGTGTAGAATGGTGGCCATCCAAGGTCACATGGCCTCACCTCTCCAGGGCCCTGGTTACAGCCACCTTCCTCCCACCATTTCTGTCATGCTCCCTCTGACCTTCCAGGGAGAAGTGCTGTCGGGCTAGGGGTGTCCCCACTCCTGCTCTGTGTACAGGAGTCCTCTAGAGTTGGCCCAGGGGCAGGTGGGGCCCAGGGAGAGGTCTAGAGGGGACCAGGCATATGTGTTTTGGGGACACAGAGGACATCGTGTACGTGGAGCATGAGGATTGGCGACAGGAGTACGTGCTTAATGAATCCGGGAGAATTTACTATGGGACTGAAGCACAGATTGGTGAGCGGACCTGGAACTATGGGCAGGTATGGCTGGCCAGGGCCACGTGCACTTGGGGAAGTAAGAGGCAGGTGGGGTGGGGAGAGGAAGCGCGTGCTGACCTAAGGGGTCACCTCTGCCCTCCCTCCCTCCAGTTTGACCATGGAGTGCTGGATGCCTGCCTGTACATCCTAGACAGGCGGGGCATGCCATATGGAGGCCGCGGGGACCCGGTCAGTGTCTCCCGGGTCATCTCTGCCATGGTGAGCACCCACACGTCTCTGAGTGCTATGACGTGTCTGCCTCCTGCCTCCCACCTTCTCTGCCCCCTGCTCCTGCCCTTTCTGATTTCTCCAGGAACTCAGCCCTGTCCTGCCCTTGCAAAGGGTATTGTAGGAGGGGTCTCACTCCCTCTCTTCTCCTTGCCTGGCCCCACCCTACCCTTTCTGGCTTCTGTCCCAGCTCTTGTGGAATGTAGGGCCAAACCCAAAACTTGGCACACCCAGGATTCACATTACTGTGTCAGATCCGGCAGTGGGGGGGTAGGGAGTGGAGGGGGGGGGCAGATGTCTTTGGGAGGCCTGGGTGGGGCTCAGGTTGGCTAGATTCTGAGGCATTTAGGGGTAAGGGGTGGTGGCAGGGGCAGGGCTGGGGACTACATGGAAGGCCCTGAGCCTCTCCCTCAACTCCACCCAACTCCATCCTGTCCTGGGCAGGTGAACTCCTTGGATGACAATGGGGTCCTGATTGGAAACTGGTCTGGTGATTACTCCCGAGGCACCAACCCATCAGCTTGGGTGGGCAGTGTGGAGATCCTACTCAGCTACCTACGCACGGGCTATTCCGTCCCCTATGGCCAGTGCTGGGTCTTCGCCGGTGTGACCACAACAGGTAGTGGAGGGACTGGGACAGGAGCTGCCTGGGCCCTACAAGGAAGAGGGAAGGAAACCAGAACCCCACCCAGCAGTGGCTACAGTGCAGGGACAGGTGGGGGGTGGATGGTAGGCTGACCTTAATTATCATTAATTAGTGTTAACTACCTAGGGATGCCTAGGGGAGAGGAGGGAGAAGCACTGGGCAGGGACAAGGCCAGGCAGGTGGCCTGGCTTCCCCTAACCCCCAACGCTCCCTGGCCCAAAGGCCTCCTGAGCCCTGACCCAGCTTGGCAACCCAGTAGCCCTTGTCCCCCTGCTATTCCTCACCTGATACCTCACCTGCCCACCACCCCACTCCTGCCGGGGCCCTGACCTCTAACCCTGGCTCCTCCATAGTGCTGCGTTGCTTGGGCCTGGCTACCCGCACTGTCACCAATTTCAACTCGGCACATGACACAGACACATCCCTCACCATGGACATCTACTTTGACGAGAATATGAAGCCTCTCGAGCACCTGAACCATGATTCTGTTTGGTGAGGCTGGGGCCAGGGCTGGGCTGCCCATCCTTGGTGACCAAGGGATGGTGACCAAGACTTGGACACTGAGGGCACAGGGAGGCCCTGGGCAGGCTGCTCAGACCCAGCCCTCCCTCCGTGTCCATCCAGGAACTTCCACGTGTGGAACGACTGCTGGATGAAGAGGCCAGATCTGCCCTCTGGCTTTGGTGGGTGGCAGGTGGTGGATGCCACACCCCAGGAAACCAGCAGCGGTGAGATGGGCCCCACCTGGCTCCTGTGCCCCCCTTAGCCCCATCCCCATCTCCCAACCTGGGTAACAAGCCCCAAGTGTCAGCACCATCTGGGCGGTAGAACCTGGCCCTTTAACCCCCATGTTTCTTTTCTTTTTTTTTTTTTTTAGAGATGTTACACATTCAGTTTATTTTCTTGAAGTTTATTATAGACCCCAGTGTTTCTTTTTTTTTTTTTTTAATTTTTTTTTTTTCAACGTTTATTTATTTTTGGGACAGAGAGAGACAGAGCATGAAGGGGGGAGGGGCAGAGAGAGAGGGAGTCACAGAATCGGAAGCAGGCTCCAGGCTCTGAGCCATCAGCCCAGAGCCTGACGCGGGGCTCGAACTCACGGACCGCGAGATCGTGACCTGGCTGAAGTCGGACGCTTAACCGACTGCGCCACCCAGGCGCCCCTAGACCCCAGTGTTTCTTTAAACAGGCTCACCGATGGGATCACTGTCCAGCCTTTCACTATTTTTACCTTTCCGCATAACTCTCTATTTGCCTAAATCTTCTTTATTTACAATGACTAATATATTCAGATGGCTCAAAAGGCAAAAGATGTAGGAAAATTTGGTGAGAGCTTTTCCTCCCTAGCACACCTGCTCTTCTCCTTTGCTCTTTTACTTACACATCCTGGGGGTAATTAATCGAAGGACCATTTTATTTATCTATCTTTTTTAAGTTAAAAAAGGTCATTATTGGGGCGCCTGGGTGGCGCAGTCGGTTAAGC